AGAGAGAGAGAGAGAGAGAGAGAGAGGGAGAGAGAGAGAGGCGTGAGAATTACTGTTTTGGCATCTTGGGGATATTTGGAGAAGTTTCTGACAGTGGAAATGCAATTTGTCAGTCTTTTCTCTTTTAGGTAGAAATCTCCGTATGATACACACCTCTTTAGGAATCCTCCTTGTATTTGGGCCTAAGAAAATCAGAGCTGAAATTCAAGTTATCTTTACAGTCAAGGTTAAGCGTAAGAAGTATCACTCAGACATGGTAGTGTAAAATGCTATTGCCCTCTGTTCTAAATGTATAGGAGGGGACGTGTCAGCAAGAGCTGACTGTTTAAAGCTCTTTGATTTTACTGGACCTGCCCATTCATTCCCCAAGTGCCCTCACACCCATCTGAGTTACTGGTAAATCCACACTGAATCCAGACACTCACCGGCGGGAAGGACCCTAACGGGACCTTTCCCATCACCTGTCCTGTTGGTTTCTCTGCATATTCTGGTCTCTAGGTTGTGTCATTCTCTATGGTGCCTGTGGTAAGAGTTGTTTTTTTCTTTTTCTAAAATATGGTTATTACCAATTATGAGACTTGAAAGAACAGAAATCATGCTATCCCCTAAAATTTCTCTGAAACTGGAGGATAGAGTCGCTGTCTTTATTTTCCTGGTTTAAAAGGTCAGTCAGTTAGTTGCTGCTCATTGCTAACTAGCCCTGTTTTATAATCACACCAGGAAGTCCGCTGGGATTTACCCATATTTATATTTACATTGGTTCAACCTCAAAAGCCTTCTTGAACAAACACATGAACGACTTCACCTCAGTCTGAAAATACTGGAAACAGAGAATAAATTCAGTTTAATGTAACCACTTCTTACAGAGAATTCTCTTAGTGGGAAAGGTCAGTATTTCCCATCAAGTAAAAATAAATATAATACTGATCTGATCTCAATGTCGTGTTTTCTTCACACACACACACACACACACACACACACACACGCGCACTTGCATGGGCACACACACAGGCAGACACATACTCTCTGCTAACATTACCAATAGCTTTCGAGGTCAATGAAATACAGTGATTATGAACTTAAGCTGTGGGATGAGATGGGTCTGGATTCAAGTTCTGCCTCTGGCTGTGTGACAGTACACAGGTTACTTAACCTTCCTGCGTGGTTTCCTTTGTCTGTTAAGTAATACCTACTACATAAGGGCTAATATGATGATTAGATACAATAATGTCCAATAAGCCAGTGCTTCTCAAACTCTAAAGTGTGCACAGGTCATCTGGAAATCTTATTAAAATGCAGACTCTGATTCAGTCAGTCTGAAATGGGGCTTGAGATTCTAAGTTCCCAGGGGATGCTATGCTGCTAGTTTATGGACCAAACTTTGAGCAGCAAGGCACATACTAAAACTTTTGGGACCAAAACTGCTATCCAGTGGTCTTAAAATTCAATTAAGAGAAGAAAGCTGAGAAAGGATTCTTTTTATGTTTTTTTTTTGTTTTGTTTTGTTTTTTTTGTGTGTGTGTGACTAAAGTAAACATGGCACAAACCCAGTTTCTCTAGGTGAGGAGAGGCTAAAACATTTGGGGCAAGGTTTTATTCTGTTCCTACATGAGCCTCTGCATGATGAGTTGCTAGACTTATTTTCCATTCTCTGTCAAGGATTAGCCGGGGATGACTGGAACCCATAGAAAGATGATAAGGCCTGAGCCTACTGCAAGTCTCGTACCTGTCATAGTCTTGGCAAATCTCCCCCACAGCCACCAAGGCCTTCAGGTACTCGTTGGGTTGGTAAGGGTGGATGTAGTGCAGGGAACAGCTGTTCCTGGGGTCCCCGTTTGAGGCAGTGAAATCTATAGCTACCTGGAAGAGAAAATAGGAGAATGGGTGGATTTAAAATGAAAGCATCTTGTAGGACTTGTGATCAGCCATGAGAGAAACACGGCATGAGATGGAAAAAAAGCAGCATGTTACATACCCTGCCAATAAGGAAAGTTAGAAAGGAAATTAATTAGCTTTAAAAGCCAGTTATTGGGCTGGCCAAATGGCGCGTTGGTTAGTAGTTGGCTTAGGATGACAGTTCTGAGCAGCAGGGCCCTGGTTTGGATCCCACATGAGGGCCAGTGATGCTGCGCCCTCTATAGCTAAGATGGTGAACAACAGCTCGACCTGGAGCTGGGCTGCCATGAGTTACCGGCAACGGTGTAGGCTGCAGTGGGGCTGGCTGGCAGAGGGTGTGAGCTTTTGGGAGCTGCTGTGAGCCACCGTGAGCGGCCGTCCAGTGGCTGACGACCAATCTGCCTCACCTGGGAAGAGCGCAATGATCACAATACCAACATGGGCTAGTGAAGCAATGTCCTCCACAACTAGACTGAAGAACAAAATGACAGCAACTTGTCTGTTCCCCTTCCTCGATTCCTCAACACTGTTCCCCTCCCCCAAATCCCCCCAAAATCTTTTAAAAAACAAAACAAAACAAACAAAAAAACCAAACTAGTTATTAATTTGATTGAGGCCATTTCTGTATTGTTTAGTACCCCCGTCCTCTGATGCCTTCTTTCTCCCTGTCCAAAGGGAATGTGAGCTTGACATATAGGTCAGAAAGACCGACTGCTGCCGATCCTCATATCAGGAAGCAAGGGAAGAATATCATAATTCACTAAGAAAAGAATTACCCTCTGGGCAGGGTAATTCTATCTCTGAGCCATAAGTAATATCCCCTAAAAACAAATTCTGTGTTAAAGATGCAGTTTATATAAGGAAGCCACTGTCATAGTTTCATGAGTGGCAGTTGCAGAGAGATGTATTGAAGCGGTTATAATAAATTTTCTGCAAGAAGCAGCTCAGTGTAAGATTTCAGCCTTTAATTCCCATTCATGTAAGGACGGCTGCCTGTCACAGAGAAGGCGTCTGAATGTTACGGCATTGTGAGTGGGAAGTGGAGGAGGGTAACCTCTGTCTTGCCACCAAGTAGTCATTATCCTTGAACTTTAAAAATATTTTAGGGCCAGCCAGGTGACTCAATTGGTTAGAGTGTGAGCTCTGAGCAACAGGGTTGCCAGATCAATTCCCACATGGGCCAGTGAGCTGCGCCCGAGCTGAGCTGCCAACGGGTGGCTGGATGGCTCAGCTGGTGAGAGCGCATGCTTTTAACAATAAGGTTGCCAGTTCGACTCCTGCATGAGATGGGAGGCTGTGCCTTCTCCTCCCCTCCGCCCCCCCCCCTGCAACTAGATTGAAAGCAGCGACTGGACTTGAAGCTGAGCTGCACCCTCCACAACTAAGATTGAAGGATAACAACTTGACTTAGAGCTGATGAGTCCTGGAAAAACACAATGTTCCCCTTCCTGAATTCCCCAACACTGCTTCCCTCCCCAATTCCACAATAAAGTCTTTAAAAAAATATTTTAGGGCCAGCCAAGTGGCTCAGTTGGTTAAGAGCTCGCTCAAGAGTTTGAGCTCTGAGCAACAGCGGTTCGAGTCCAGCCCAAGCTGAGCAGCCGCTGAGCTGCCAACAGGTGGCAGGATGGCTCAGCTAAAAAAAAAAAAAAAAGTGTGTTAAAAAAAAAATTTTATGACCCCCAACAACATCATCACATAAATAAAAGTTGACTCCCTAACACTTTTTAACAACAATAACACGCTGAAGCCTCAAGGGTGCTAAAATGGGAAGGAACATTTCTTCTGATTTCCAACATCATTACCATTTAAATAAATGTTAATCCAGCAAACACCTCTCTCAACAAAAGCTTGAGGGCCAGCCAAGTAGCACGCTGGTTAAGAGTTGGCTTGGGACGCCAGCTCTGAGCAGCAGGGCCCTGGTTCCAATCCCACACGAGGGCCAGTGACGCTGTGCCCTCTACAACTAAGATGGTGAACAACAGCTCAACTTGGAGCTGGGCTCCTGTGAGTCGCTGGTGACGGCATAGGCTGCAGAGCCTGTTGCAGTGGGCTGCCATAAGCTACCATGTGTGGCTGGCAGCCAGTGTGAGTGGCCGGCAGCCAGCATGAGCTGCCGTGAGCGGCCATCCAATGGCTGGTGATCAATCTGCCTCAGCCGGGAAGAGTGCAATGACGGTGCCAACATGGGCCAGTGAAGCGACACCCTCCACAACTAGACTGAAGAACAAAAGGACAGCAACTTGTCTGTTCCCCTTCCCTGATTACCCAACGCTGTTCCCCTCCCCCAACTCCCCAATAAAAATATTAAAAAAAAAGCTTAAGCTTGGGTGAGTGGAGGAGGAGGGATTACAATGAAAGGAGTTGTAGGGGAAGAAAGTAATGTTCATATTGCACCTTTCTTTTCTCTTTGGGGTTCAGCAGAGTCCACTTATGACAGAAAGGCTCTCTTTTATCTTATGATCTTGTGGATGGGAAATGTTATTTGTATATTAGTTGGCAAAATTCCATTATAGCAAATAACTGGAATGTCGCATTGGATTTATTAAGGTGAGAAGTTACTTCTGGAAGGACAGAGAAAAGGTGCCATATGCCCTGTTCAGCCTATAAGAGTAAAGTTGATATGGAAAAAATGTCATCCATGTCTTATAGTGTGATTCTGCAACAGAATCAAAGTAACTGGAACAGAAAAAGCAACAGGCTAACAGTAATTTACTTACAACCTCTCTTTTTTTCTTTCATAAAGTTATTTTTTCATCACTGATTTTCCCCCCTTTTGTTCCTCAACATTCCATTGGACTATATTGAAAATAAATTTAAGCTGGATTCAAATTCTATTTTCAGAGTACCCAGATGTTTTCAATAAGGGAGTTCCAACTGATAAAATGCTGGTACTAACAGTGTTTCTAAAGGAAAGGTCATGTGAAGAAAAATGGTACAGTACTTTCCTAACCCTTAGACGCTCTCATGACAGTTAAGAAAGGGAAGAAGAGAGGAGTAACCTTTGTTATAACTCGACTCTGTACTAAGTGCTTTACAGGCATCAGGTTATTACATTTTCATAAAAACTCTAGGAGGTAGAGATTGTTATTCCTTTTTTTTTTAAAGATTTTATTGGGGACTTGGGGGAGAGGAACAGCGTTGGGGAATCGGGGAAAGGGAACAGACAAGTTGCTGTCCTTTTGTTCTTCAGTCTAGTTGTAAAGGACATCGTTTCACTGGCTCATGTTGGTATTGTGATCATTGCGCTCTTTCTGGGTGAGGCAGATTGGTCGTCGGCCACTGGACGGCCACTTATGGCGGCTCTTGGCAGCTCACACCAGCCGCCAGCCACTCACAGTAGCTTTATGACAGCCCTCTGCAGCTTCACTGCAGCCTACACTGTTGCCGGTGACTCACAGCAGCTCAGCTCCAGGTTGAGCTGTTGTTCACCATCTTAGCTGTAGAGGGCCCAGCATTACTGACCCTCATGTGGGATCTGAACCGGGACCCTGCTGCTCAAAGCCAGCTCTTAACCAATGCGCCACTCGGCCAGCCCTGTTATTCCTTTTAGTGGATGAAGACCATGATGCCCAAAGGTGATGAAGGTCACACAGGACATAGGGGAATGGACCTGGTTTAAGCCCAAGTCTAAATGGCTCCAAAGGCTCTGTTGTACCTTTACGCAACCAATAGGACTTGGAAATCTTTCACTAACATGCTTGTATTAAGAAGCCTCATGGTTTTGTTTTATTTTTATAAAGAATGCAGGGGACTTGGCCTAGAGGTAGAGACTAGCTAGGAGGCAACTACAGTCATTTAGGAGAAGAATGGCCTTGAATGAACATCTCTGTGACCAAAGCAGTTGGAAAAGGTGGAAAAAGGGCAATTGAAGTGTGTGTGTGTGTGTGTGTGTGTGTGTGTGTGTGTGTGCACTCTTGCACAACAATGGTCGAATGTGTTACTGAGGATGACTGGAAGTGACCTAAAAGGACCAGTAAAATACAGTACCTTCTGAGATAGATTTCAACTGGGAGGCAAAAGCCAACCCACAGGGAAAAAAAGAGGAAGACAATAGGTGATGATGATCCTTTTAATTAAGACCTGATGACATGCGAGTTTTGGTAGGGAGCCTACATGTATTTGTGAACAAGGAGGTTTGTGCACTCCAGGATCCATCCATGGGGACCCAACCAGACAGAGGTAGAAATACGTGCAGATAATTCCTAGAAGACTCCAAGAGCAACACTTGAGAGATGCCTGAGAGACAGTGTTTGAAGAAATCATACACCTAGGGGTCTCCTGGGTTTACAAAGATCAAACATGCAGAGCCAGCACTCTCAGCCTTTCTGTCCTGCTGAGACACATTTAGGGGATAATGGCACCTCATGCACATACACATAGTGTTTAAAAGGTAAATGCTACGTATGTGCTAGAAGTCCAGGTGTAAAGCCACCTCTTTCTCTCCTACTGAAGAAAGCATTTTTGAACTCTGAGAGAATTCTAGAAAATGTGAGCATGTTTGCTATGGCGATAACCTTGATTCTGCTCAAATTTATCTAAAATGCAAATCATTGGCAGGTGTTGATACTTTTTTCCCCCCTATTAGTTTCAGGTGTATAAAACAATGTAATAGTTAGATATTTCACCCCTCACAAAATGATAACCCCCTCCCCCAATCTATTGCCCCTGTGACATCGTATATATCTATTACAATTCCATTTACCTCTATTCCCTATGCTGTGCTTCCTTAACAACGAGTACCTAGGGCTCACCTCCCTTCTGATTATGATGCCCTTCATCATGGATCACCACACTCCTCTCTCTACCTGTGCTTCTCGGTACTGCAGTTGACCACTGTCCCATGTGCTGGTTACCTGACCTGAGTGTCAAGGGTATCCTGTGATGACAGAAACATGCTGGTGTCTTGATATAAAACCAGAAGATGAACTAAGATAATATAAAGACCAGTGGGGAAAACCTCC